GAAAGGCAAAGGAGCTTGGGTTTGCTTGTACCCATCCCCTTAGATGTGTTCTTGGGCTCAGAGTTCTCTGTAAGGAGAATTCTTGGTATATATTGTGGGATGTCTGGAAAATAGATAGTAATAAATACATCGTTTTATATGGAAGATGGATAATGCAGTGCTTAAGAATGTGGACTGGAGAATAAATCAATGCAAAGAGACTTTCTGTTCTTTGGTGTTCATTTCTCTTTTTTCTTTCCCCAGTGAATGTTCCTCAGCAATCCCAACAAAAGGATGGTTTTAGAAATATCATGCTGAAGATCTCAGTGATTACTGCCTTTCCTTATGGGAACTGAGACTTGCAGACTGGAAAGCGGAGCGTTGCAGCTCATATTCAAAGCAGCGAGTAGCAAGTCAAGGTAATTTCAAGACTTAAGTTGTTGTTTTGAGCTGAACTGATGGTCACTTGTAAATCACTCAGATGTGCTTAGTGAGAAGTAACAGCACACTGCTGGCTCCTCTGAGCTCCTGAATTTACAGGGATAATTGTGCAACGTGAATCTAGGTTTAAGTTAATTTCTCTCTGCCTCTTCTATTTTATGCTTGCTTGCTCGCTCTGCAGTGACCCCCTTTAGACTGCTGGTTGTATAAATGTTTATCATAGAGGGTCACCAGGATTGAGGAAAAGGAGATAAAAACTGTGAACAAAAAGAAACCTTGCTTTTTTTCATTAGATACTGTGCTGGAGGTAGGTGTGCTCGCAGCAGGCTGATTTAGCTTGTTCAGATGCCATGCTAAATGTCTAAACTAAATACAGTCTAGTAGGGCTTTGTTTGTTAGTTTGTTTGCAGAAGCACTTACAGAAACAATTTCATGCAGCAGGAGCTGATCAATCAAACTCTAGCTGAAGAAACCCCAGAATGATCAGTATCTGAAGGGGGCCTATAGGGATGCTGGAGAGGGACTCTTCATCAGGAACTGTAGCGATAGGACAAGAGGTCTATGACCAAACCAGTCTATGATGCTATGACCCTTTCCATCTGACCTTCTGGGGGACAGGTTAGAAAACATCAATAGCACCAGCTATTGGCTGTTGCAGTGTACATTTAGTGTGCTCCGTGTGTGTCTGGGGAAAGCAGGGGAGGACTGCATTTTCTGCCTTAATTGTAATACTTCTCCTTTTACAAACACACCTTTGCCAAGAGAAAAAAAAAAAGCAAACCCTGAAAACTCCCCAGTCTAATAAATTTGAATGTTATGTAGATGAAAATCCCAAAGCCCGTGGGCCCTGACCACAGCGATGTTTAGATGAATTAGCAGTCTGAAAACCTTTCTCTCATCCCTCTGACCTAGGGTTAGTCCCTTCAATGCCTTCTTCAGGCTCATCCTTCCAGTTTTCATTTTAGCATTTCTCCTGTGGTGCAGTAGAATGAAGCTTGAAGCTGATGTTTTCTTTAATTGTTGTTTGGGAAAGGAGCCTCAGAGGCTGATACTCTTTCTGTGGATCAGTATGTTGTGGCCCAGGCTGGGGTGATGTGTAGATATTTTGGTAATAGCACCCAAATACAAAGCCTCAGAGGCTGGAACAGTGTTTCCAGGAGCGCATGTCCACCTCCCAGCTGTTTTGAATGCTGTATCATTAGTTTTACTCATGTTGGTGGGTACTGCCTGGTGCAAGGAGTCCCACATTCATGATATCAGTCCTCACCCATGGGACACCGCAAAACTTTGTCCTTCACCGTTCTGCCTTAAGTGCTCCTTATCACAGAATGGTTTGGGTTAGAAAGGACCTTAAGATCATTGAGTTCCAACCCCCTGCCATGGGCAGGGACACCTCCCACTAGACCATGTCACCCAAGGCCCTGTGCAACCTGGCCTTGAACACTGCCAGGAATGGAGCATTCAGCACTTCCCTGGGCAACCCATTCCAGTGCCTCAACACCCTCACAGTAAAGAACTTATGCTTGGATGTAGCTGTCAAATGTTAGATGATCAGTGTATGTGACAGTGTCTGCCTTGCAAGTCCCTGTGGATGTACCCTAGATTCCAGGTTTTCCTATGACAGTCACAGGTGAAGGCACTTCGTACTCTTGGCAGCATGAATTATGCTGCATTGCGGAATCTTGCACTCAATTAACATTAGAGGTTGAGCTGTGCAAAGCTCTTCCAGCTGATCATGAGTTAACCTACTGCCTGTATTGGACACAGAGCTATGGTACATCCAATTAATGTACTTCATGGAGGAGGAGCAATTAATAGAAATTGCACAGCAGGTCAGAATAGAAGTGAAGGACATGGAGTTTCTTTCTTCTAGGAGCAAACTGGAGCAAGTTGCCTAGTGTATTTACCCTGTGAAGCCTTATACTGTCCTGTCCTAATCTAGGCTAGATGATAATAGGATAGAGTCTGTGACATATAAAAAGATAACTTTAAATGACAATTTGAGCTGTGTAATTCAGTATCTGGACATGCTTTTGAGGTGCTCATATTTCAAACTAGACTTTTTATGTTTAATATCCTTTCTGTCTCTCAAAGCTGCTGTTGGATGAAAAAAATTATCTGGCTTGTGGGATGCTGCTAATAAAAATAATTCTTTATGTCTGAATTTATATGCTGTGGTCAGTCCCAATAAGGAAAATTGGAGGCGATCCCATTAGCAGAATCTTCATCAGGTGCTCCCCTCTGGTTTTCATTTTGCCTCAGGAGCATGCAGATGAAAGTGAGACCTTTTTCAGAGCTTTCATCTGTAAGTGTTCAGTGAAATGATGAGATCTGAATTATGTGCTGAGGTTGAAATGTCGTTCTTGTGCAGGAAAGGACAGCTTCTGAAACCATCAGAGTTAAAACCACACACACAATAATTTGTCCAAAGCTGCTATCAGAAAGAGAATGTCAGCCAAAATGTCCCACCTTGCAGGTTTAGAGCAGAATGAAGTGATATTCTGACCCCCATGGTACTCACAGGGGCAGAGCAAGTCTTTCTCCTGTATAATCCCACCTGCCTTTCTCTGACGCTCCATCCAGGGCCTGGATGCTAATGTACAGTGTCACTAATCCTCTGGGTCACATACAGAATGAAGCTCAGCTATTGCAGGCTGCTGTCAACACAACACATGATGACTTTATTTGCCTTTTACTATTTGTCTTATCATCCCACTGACTTTCATCAGTAGTTCAGCTGAGTAATAGCAGTAAGAAAACATAATGGAAGTGTACCAGGGGATCCTATCTCTGAATCGCCAGTTATGCTACCTGATAGATATATCCTTCTGGTAACAGACTGTTTATCAAAGCATCTGTAGACATTAATTTCTTTGAAGCAGCTGTCTAGGGAAAGTGTTTTTCATGAGCTTGGGGACAGAGGGAGTGTAGCAGGTTGAGAGTGGACCTGGAGCTGTGTGTAGGGTTTTTTGGCAGATGTTACATGCAGGATGAGATCCTGTGAAACAGGATAAGGTTACAAGTATGTACTGGAGAAATGGGAGAATTTATCTTAGACTCTGCCAAGCTTTGTGCAACTGCCAGTGTAACACTGAAGTTCAGTATCTCTTGAACTCATTTGTAAATAATCTGCATGTAAACTGTAATGTAACACTGCTTGACAGCTCTGAAGAGTGGCATAATTGCTCAGCTATAATGTTGAACAGGTCGCTTCTCACCCCTTTAAACCTGCCAGCCTAGTACACCACTGATTGAAGGAGAAGCATGGGAATGTCTTCTGGTGGGAACAGTGATGCTTCAGCTGGTATGGCTTCTGCATTTCTTGTGTCTGCTGCATCTGCCAGTTTGAGCAAAGTGTGGATTTGCGGTGTAGGAACTGGAAGGGAGCTCGTATTATGTAATCTTTGAACTATATAATCTGAGTTTTGAACTATATAATCTGGGATACCTCGGAACTTGTTTGAGCAGGTGAAGTTTCCAACTAGTGACATCCTTGTGGGCTCACTGCAGCATCATGCAAGGAGACATACAATGTCCCTGTAAGTGCTCTTCTTGTGTCCCTGTGCACTTGCCTTGCACTCGGCAATAAATGCAGCACCCTAAACACTGGAAGTTCTGTCATATCCTCCTGGCATTCTGAAAGAGCTATAAAACATTAAATCATAGAATCATAGAATGGTTAGGGTTGGAAAGGACCTTTAGATCATCTAGTTCCAACCCCGCTGCCATGGGCAGGGACACCTCACACTAAACCATCTCACCCAAGGCTTCGTCCAACCTGGTCTTGAACACTGCCAGGGACGGAGCATTCACAACCTCCCTTGGCAACCTATTGCAGTGCCTCACCACCCTAACAGGAAAGAATTTCCTCCTTATATCCAATCTAAACTTCCCCTGTTTTAAGTTTTAACCCGTTACCCCTTGTTCTGTCACTACAGTGAAATCAGTAATGCATGTGATCATTCCTGTTTTGATGTGCGACACTCCCCTGGTTTTTTAGGGCTGAAAGGTACCCTTCACTAGCTCTTTCAGGCTTGGCTATCCTGTTTTGGTAAGGTTATATGACTGAACTGGTTTGTGAGACTTCAGGACATTTGGCAGATGGGGTTTTCCACCCTGAAATACATTCTATGGCCTGTTTGCTCTTCGATTGTACTCTACCATCAAATTCCACCCCCTATTCTTACAGGCATAATTTCCATTTATTATACATAATAAAATATGTAGTAGGAGGTTTTAATTTGCTTTTAGGTATGCTGTCACATACCTGAAGTGTAGTGCACAGCCATTTACCCAGCCCTAGCTACGTCAGGAATCTTGCCCAATGGAAGAGGATATTCTGTGTATCACAAAGGAAAACCTCAAGCAGAAAAAATGTATGAAAAGAAACAGCAGGAGATTGGTGGTGCAGGAGCTGAAGCTCATCTGCAAGGTGTTAGTTTGTCCGTCTGAGCATGTGCAACCAGTACAGTTCTCAATAATGTTCTCAGTGTGCCCAGGCACATGGGTTTTTCCTCTCTGGTTGTTGAGCACTGGTAATTGTGGTACTTGTGTGGCTGCACAACAGCCTCTTTCATGAGCTTCGGGGTCAAAAGGAAGTGTTCTATGCTGTGAAGCTCAGCCTAGAGAAGAGCCCATGGGTCTTGGCAGAAGAACCTGCACCTTTATGGCAGGATGAGTCACACCTGTTGCCCTCAGGGTGAGTGTGAGGGCTGGAAGATCACATGTATCTTTTAAAGGCAGATGAGCTTAATTTGAGATGACAATGCCACAATCATTTCCAGCTTTTCACTCTCATCTCTGCTTCTCCAGTCCTGCTACTGGTGCTGGCACAAGCATGAACCAATACAGCTTGGTGCAGCTCCCAGCTGCTGGTGTGAATGGGAAGGAGTGACAGGAATGGGAAGTGGGAGAGTTGTTTTTTGGCAGCAGCTGGTGGTTCTGTTGGCTTATGGAACCACAGCATATGACTCTAAGCACTCACAGGTTGTAGTTGTAGCCATGCAGTTATTATCTGTTCTTTCCAGATTCTTTAAATTGAATATCCTGGATTTTCACTGCTTGTTTTGGAAACACATGTAATATGCTGTCTGTACAATGCACCTCAAGTTACTGGAAGGACTCTTAAGTTCTTCTTGTATTTCTATTTGGAGATCAAATAGGACAAATCCCTACCTGGAGTGCAGGGTTTAATTTGACCTGCCCTGCTATGGCATTGTGGTCATCTCCCTGCTGCCCTGTAACAGATCACAAAGCACACCTGGAAGCAGGCAGTCGCCCATGGGTGCTAGTTTTTAGCTTTGACCTATAGCAGCTCAGCCATTCCTCAGCCCCATCTGTTTCCTTTCCTTTTTCTGTCTCTGTGGGCTTATGTTTTAGGCAGTAAGTCTCTCCACAGTAGACAAAATACATGTCAGAGGTGTCACATGTGGCATGGTTGCTACCAGGTACTGAGATGCTCTTGTTGGTCTGATGACTTAAGAAGGGTACTTAGGACCATGTGTTGGTGTGGTTCACAGTCACTCCCCAGTGACAAACTTGCAGTGGGAAGTGTGAGCTTGTCCCCTTCATTGGGAGTCCTGTCTCTCCTGGTGTCAAAGGCAAGCTGTCTTCCTGAGCTTGGGAAGTTGTCAGGGCTTTGGGAACTGCTTCCTGAGGCTGATGGTGGTACAGATGGAAAGCAAAGAAAGGGAGAAGAGGGTGAGTAAAAAGGAAAATGCAGGCAGACCCAGTATGTGCTGTTCTCTCACCATCTCCTGGATGGAGACAAGGTATGTAGGGATGTGCCTCACATAGGATGTTTCCTATTTGCGCATCAGGTATAATTCAAGTCTTTGAAGAGCATAGAGAGAATTAATGTTTCTGTTGATTGGATGAGAAGCACTATGCACACAAAGCGTTTGCTATTGAGAAACTGATCCTATTTCATGATGTTTATCAGCAGTCGACATTCTGTTCCTCTTGCCCTTTACAGGGGTGAGAAGGCATTAGCAAGTGGGGTTCTATTTACTTCCCTTACTGGCTGATTCCCTTGCTGTTGGCTAAGAAATAATGAAACTTGTTCAGAAGAAGCCTGTGCAGATTTATTTCTGAAATCTTTATAGAAATGTGTGGACAAATTGTCTGAGCCTGGGGCATTTCCAGATTGCATATTCTTAATTGTATTAAACACTTCAGAGCCATCTGATGCACTGTCTCACAGCTCAACCATCTGCTCTGAAAATGTAGGCAAGCTTTGCTTCATGGAGAAACTCTGAGTCACTCATACTGGAGTGTCATTAGATGGCCCCTGGGCTGCTCTTTGATGGAGAAGGCTGCTATAGTGTCACTGCTGATAGTGTGCTGATTGAGAGAAACATAAGGATTTAGGGGCTCATTAGTTTTGATTTATCAGGCTAAAAATGTAGCTCTCTTGCCTTTGTCTTTGCCAAAAGACTAGTTACCCCCCCAGTCCAAACCATTACAAGTGGCATTGTTGTTTTAGTTGCATTGTATTTGTTGTTATAAACCTACAAAGCCCACTCTTCTTTCAGAACATATTCTTGTGGACTTTTAAGGTAAGGCTTTTTTTACTTGATTACAGCACTTAGAAGCTTTGATGCTTTTCCTCTTGCAACACCCACATGAGGCTGGGAATATGGTTACCCTCATGATAGTAATGGGAGGATGTACAGAGAGATAAGGTTAGGTAGGAGACAGTGCTTTGCAGTAAGGACTACACCAGCTGCCGCTTCAGTGCTGGTTTTGTATCTGCTGGTTCCTGTGTGCTCCCTCTCTTTCCCCAAGACAGAGAAACTCTTTAAGTAGCTTGCTAAGAGATTCCCTGGAGGCAATGGGGTGTTTTGGACATTATTTTGGCCAATAAACCAAGCATTTATATTTATTTGCATATTATTTGTGTGTTTTTAAGTTGTTAGGCCCAAGAATACATATTTCCCAGAAATGCTGTGGGTCACAGAGGGTTCTACAGGCCTAAGGCTCAAGAGCATCACACTTACATTTACAGAAGTCTAACTTTGATTTGGTTAGAAGTAAAATCCTGAACCTTACGGGTCTTTGAACCTGAAACTGTATCTGGAGGCCACCCCGTTCCTTCCAGTTCAAAGATAGGAAGTGAGTCCAAATGAGGAATTAACTGTGCTAAGCTAGAACTTGTGCTCCATCATCAGCCTTTCAGCAGTGGCAGAAGGGAGCACTTTTCTCCCTTCTGGGTTTGCCAAAGTCTTTCACTGGCAGGGCTGAGAATCCAGGAGACTTACAGCTTGTGTGGGGTACAGGAGACTTTGCAACTTCCTGCTTCAGCTCCTGCGTGTGCACTGTGTCACAGGACAAATGTCAAATTGCTTTTTTACTTCTCTCACCCCGTTTCCAGCTCTTCCTATTGAGAGCATTTATTAAGGAAAACCAGCTTTCTTTACACAACCAATCTAATCTATCGGACATGGGCAGTCAGTGTGCTGTGCTTGAGTAAGGTTCATTACTTGTAAGAGGAATTCTTTGGTTGTTACCTGTTTAACCCTCTTCCTCTGACTAGTCAAAGTCCCAGAGTGATTGCTCCATCTGGGCTGATCCCGAGATCACAACTCAAACTGTGATCAGTTCTATATGCTAAGAGGGGCTGACTGTTCCTGGTTTCCTGGGGGTAATTCAAAAGCAATGCCATGGAAATGAAATGACATTATTCAGGAGCAGAGCTGGGATAAACATGATGAGAAACCAAGCCATTTCCCTCTTCCTCATCTTTATTTAGGTGACACAGCAAGCAGTGCCAGCTTGCAGCAGGGCTGCAGCTTTGGGGGTGGTTTTGGTGTCTGTAAAAGGAACTTTGTTGGGTGAAGAGGCTTTGTTCTGCCCAGCTTCATTCCTGGTTCTCTTACAATCTGCTGTTCTTTCTCTGCTGTGCTTCAGAAGGTGCGGTTTCGGGAAGAGAGAGTACAACAGTGGCTTGAGGCCATCTCTGCTTCTATTCCTCAGCTTCTCAGCTGCTCAGGGGCCAGTTTAAATTAGAGCAGCCCCCGTGGGGGCTCTTGCAGACGCTTTACCCAGCTGCTTCTGTTTCTGGAGCACAGAATGCTTCCATCACACCCCCAGTCCTGACACTGCCCTTGTGCCAAGGACAGGGATGGTGGCACTGTACAAATACGTGCAGGCCCTGTGCTGCTCTGTTGCTGCTGTTGTACTGCTGGAGCGGTGTGGGAAGACTGAAATGGGTCTATATTAGTTCTATACAATGCTTTTATTATTTCTTTGGGGTGTTGCAAGAGTTAAGTGTATAAATTTTGGTGTTACAGAATCCACATTAATATATTAGGGGGCAAGATTTGCTGTCTGTCAGTGGTGGAAAAAAACAGGGTGGAGGCATTCCAGCTATGCTTGAATCTCCTGTGCATTTGCACAGCTCAGTATATAACTAAGTCCAGCCTTTTTTTGCAATAGCTGCATTCTTCCTCCTTTCTCATTATATTGCAAGAGAGTTAATGCCTGGGAAAATGGATGAAAAGATGGCTCCTGAGCCACACTGCTGTTAGTGTGAGATCCTCTTTGACCTTGCCCATTGTATGGGGTTAGCTGAGAAGCACATCAGCACAGTAGCTGGTGTTGACACACTGCAGTGATTGCCAAGTAAATCTTTAGTGGCAGTGCGTGACTGAGGTTTAGTCAGGGTCCAGACTAGTAAGGTACATGGCTGGGCATGGCTGTGTACATCATAGCTCTGGCAGGGCCAAGGGTAAAAGCCCTGGCTTAAAAGATGGTTTAGACTTCATGATGAAGCTAATCATAGCATCACAGAATGGTTTGGGTTGGAAAGGACCTTAAGATCATCCAGTTCCGACCCCCTGCCATGGGCAGGGACACCTCACACTAGACCATATCACCCAAGGCTCTGTGCAACCTGGCCTTGAACACTGCCAGGGATGGAGCATTCACCACTTCCTTGGTCAGCCTGTATTTCCTTGGCTCATACATATTCATGGAAAGGGGGACATTAAAAGAAACAGGACCACTGGCTCTACCAAAACAAAGTGCCTCACCACTCTCACAGTCAAAGGCTTCTTACAAAGCTCATGGAGAAAAAGAGGGCCTTTTGGTTCTCTGACCAAAAGCAAGGAAAAGGTGGGAAATGGAGAGGAGAGACAGACTTTCCTGAAAGTCTTTATTAAATTAGAGAAGCCTGAAGCCTTATTTCCTTTCCCTCTCCTTTGGTGTCTCCATTTTGCAGTGCACTGATACTCTCCTGCTCAGACACCCTCTTACTTCGCTGGCCACAAAACAGCTATGAGCAGGCAGTAGTAGCAGGGCTGCGGGAAAGCTTTTGCTTCATTATACAACTCCTGAGAATAAAGTTATGTTTGAGTCCTGAGTCCTTGTTTTCTGTTAGAAATGCACAATCTCATGTCAGTGTTTAAAATAGCTGATGTCCGGAAGTACAGAATTCAGGTTCCAGTTGCAGGTCTGACTCACAGTCCCATTGCACACTGCAGCACACTGTTTCAGTGTATAAATGGGTGGTACAGTTCCAGATGCCAGAAGTGGAATAGAAGTTAGAAATAATTAGAATTAATAGAAACAACAACACTGACTATGTCTAAACTTTGGCGTGTTTGAGTCCAAATCTGGAGCTGAGTTTGGCCGTGACCCAACATGAATGAATATTCTATGAACATCTTTTATATTACATTGTACTTTCAGTTCCTCCAT